CACAATGTCTGCCAAAAAAATTGAAGAATGTTCTCCGTTAATGAGAGCCACAATCTACGGCCTACGTAACCGTCGTCAGACACTGCTCTCCATTTGCGTGGTTTGAAGCGCGGCACTTGTAGATGCATACGTCGTCGTCAGCTATTCTTCTTAAGACAGTGGAGGTCTGTTCTCTCATCCTGCCTCAATCGTCCTGTCTTCTCATTTTGCAGCACACTGTGTGCCAAATAAATTTCAAAGACAAAACGATTTAGAATGTTTTTCGTAAACGAGAGCCACACTCTACGGCTTACATCGCCGTCGTCAGACACTGCTCTCCGTTCACATGGTTCGAAGCACGGCACTTGCAGATGCATGCGTCGGCCTAAGCTGTTGTTCTGAAGACAGTGGAGGTCTGTTCTCTCATCCTGCCTCAATCCACCTGTCTTTTAATGTTGCCGCACAATGTCTGCCAAAAAATTGAAGAATGTTCTCTGTTAACGAGAGGCACACTCTACGCCCTACGTTGCCGTCGTCAGACACTGATCTCCATTTGCGTGGTTCGAAGCACGGCACTTGCAGATGCATGCGTCGGCCTAAGCTGTTGTTCTGAAGACAGTGGAGGTCTGTTCTCTCATCCTGCCTCAAACCACCTGTCTTCTAATGTTGCTGCACAATGTCTGCCAAAAAATTTGAAGAATGTTTTCCGTTCACGAGAGTCACATATACGGCCTACATCGCCGTCGTCAGACACTGATCTCCATTTGCGTGGTTTGAAGCGCGGCACTTGTAGATGCATGCGTCGTCGTCAGATGTTCTTCTGAAGACAGTGGAGGTCTGTTCTCTCATCCTGCCTCAATCGTCCTGTCTTCTCATTTTGCAGCAAATAAATTTCAAAGACAAAACGATTTAGAATGTTTTTTCGTAAACACGAGCCCTAATCTACGGCCTACATCGCCGTCGTCAGGCACTGCTCTCCGTTCACGTAGTTACGGCTGGACGCGTCGTCTTCCGGCGAGTCTTCCGCAGGCGGCGTCGGCGGCTGCGACGGCGGCGGCGGGGGC